GAGAAACATAGTTCAAATCTAGACAAGTTGAGGTTGAGCTGCCACATCGAGATGTTCAAGGAGAGGTTGCCAGTCATTGGCTGTGTGAGACTAGAGCTCAGCAGAGAGGTCTGCTTGAAGGTGAAAGTCTACTTGATGTCAGTAGTCTACAGGGGACCGTCAACGCCATTGGTGGAGATCACCCACAGAGAGTGAGCAGAAGAGATGAGGGGAGACCAAGGGCATAGCCCTGGGCTTGAAGGTCCCAGAGTGAGGAATCCACCTAGGAGACTGAGAAGGACAGGACGATTGTTAGGTGGTAGCCTAAGAGAGAGAGGTGTGTACTGATGGAGAGAGGTCAAGTAAAATTAGGACTGATTCTAAAAATAAAACCCAGGCTCAAAGGGAAAGATTTTCAACTACAAGGGATATGCAGAAGTATGTGCCTCTGGCTTCTGGTAGAGGTTCCTCTGCCTGTGATTGTTCAGTGATTTCCTTTTGAGTTTTGCTTTTAAAGTAATAGATACGTTCAAGAATCCTTTTGTTAAAATAGCATGAGTTTGATTTAAGATGAAACTAAACAATAATAATCATTGTGGCGTATGTACTGGGCAACTAATCCTCTCAAGAACCTGCAGAGAGGTTCTGTTATCATCTCCATTTTCCAACTGTGGAAAAGGCCCACAGCTTGGAAGTGACAGCTGGATTGGAACAGCCAGCACTCTTAAAAATATTCTTAGTCTTTTCCTGATAGAACAGCATTTCCATAAGATTTGTGTTGAAAAAGAATTACTGATGAAATGAAATTTAACCTCTAGAGCATGATTCCTAAGCCTGTCGTTTACTTTCTCTACATTTGGAGGGGAGGAAAGAGAGAATGTGTTTTTGGTAATAGGAGACTGTTTAAAAATTGGTACTTGTTTGAAGGTAGTTCTGTGTTACTCCTGATGGGAAAATGGGCTATTAACATTTCCTTTGTAAAGTCAGCCCTTGAGGAGTCAACACTATTATAAGGAGAAAAATATTACTGTTAATTCTTGTAAAAAGAATGCTCTTTGACACCCTGAACTTTCCTTTTGTGCAATGACTTCTCTTCACCCTAAATTTTATGAAATGCTGTATTTTAGGATCTGAATGTTTAACCTAAGTTCATCTATCCTTTTCCAATGTCAAACATTTTTTTAACAGAATTTATTTTGTAATCCAGATATTTCTCTATATTTTTACTAACTACTTGTTCATTAGATGTATTTATATATATGTACATACATTCTTGTCCTAAAAATGTGTTAAAAATGAATTTTAAAAATTAAATTTTCTAGCTTAGATTACTTGCCCAAGGTAAAAAAATTAAATTTTTAAAACTTTCATATGACAACATTTGCTCTTTTGGCTATACAGCTCTGTGAGTTCCAGCATATGTATAAGCTCATTTAACTACCACTACAGTAAAGACACAGAATGGTTCCATCATTCCAAAAACTCCCTCATGCTGTCCCTTTGGAATAAACCCTTGCCCAGCCTAATCCCTGGCTATAACTGATTTGCTGTCTGTCCCTGTATTTGCCTTTTCCAAAATGTCAAATAAATGGAATCATACAGTGTTTAATCTTTGGAGACTGGCCTCTTTCACTCAGCATAATAACTTTGAGATCCACCTAATGGTCGCATGTATCAGTTGCTCACCCCTTTTTATTGCTGGGCAGTATTCCATGGCATGGATGTGCACCATACATCAATTATTCATTTACCCTTCGCAGGACATTTAGTTTCTCTCCAGTTTTGGGCAGTTATGAATAAAGATGCTGTAAACAATTAGTGTACATGTTTTGTGTGAATATAATTTGTATTTCTTTAGATAAATCCCTAGAGTGGTGTCATATGTTAAGTGCATATATTTAACTTTGTAAAAAAAACTGCCACACTGTTTACCAGAATAGCAGTATTTTGCATTCCTGCAAGCAATGTATAAACTTAAAAACTTGAGTGCTGTTTTAAATGCTCTTGGGTTGAAGCTGGCAGATGTGTTTCACAGTTTTGAGGGTTTTAAAGAGATGCCCTGTGACAAAGGAAGAGCCCCTAGGGTCTCCATCCTGGCTTCAGAGAATTGCTCCAGTTTTTGTTTTGTTTTATAATGAGTTCCATGTAAGAATACATTTGGGGAGAAAAGGTGTATCTACGAAGTGTTTGAAAACCATTGCAGTGTGAGTGAGGGCCGTGTCTCCAGAGTGGGGGTTGTGGCCCACATTATTACCCATGGAGATGCTAGGTGGCACTGCGGGTCTCTGCACGTGGTGAGAACCACACCTGCAGGGCCTTTGCAATCCAAGGGATTATGTCAGAGAGGTCTTCTTTTAGACTGATCTGTTTTTAACATTCTACACCACTTGTTCATGTCCTCTTTTACAAAGAGGGGGCAGGCTTTGTCTTGGAGACTTCTCCAAGCAATCATAGCTATTTAGAATGAAATAAGCCTATAGCTTTGTTTTTAATATACTATTTTTCTGGTTATCGTCTCATTCATGACAAATATGACTTGTTTTCCATTTTTCTTTTGAAGTGAATTTATTTCACATTTTAAAATATAGGTCAATTTAAAGAAAAATATTAAATATTATATACCTTATACATAAATTTGGGACTCTTTGAATGAGAGAAGCTGGTTATTTAAATAGACCTTATAGTGAATCCTTTTTTGAAGTGATGGGACCTCCTTGGTAAAGCACATAACTGTCTCTTACTTTATCTATTTTATGAGTTTGTAAGTTTATATAACAGAAATGTCTTAAAAAATAATCTGCTATTGCCCTGTTTTGTAATACTTGTTTTTCAAGTTCTTTCTTTATTCACTGATTTGACGAATATCTATTAAAAATCATGAAGTGAGCTGTGGCGGGACAGCCCTGAACTAAACAGATGAGGTATCCCTGCCCTCGTGAAGCTTACTTCCTTAATTAAATCCTTCCTCCTTCCCCAGGTAACCTTGCTCAATTCATTCGTGTTACCTTCCTGGCCCTAGTGGGGTACTTGCAACGCATGCTTTAGCCATTTGGAGCCTGGCCTTCATACGGTAGAATTGCCTAGAGAAACTGAGTATTTCTCTCTGTGCTGAAGGGCTGAAAATGTGGTTGCCCTGGATGCTCACTGAGTGTCTGCGTGGGTGTATCACCCAGTACAGTAGATGTAATTCTGGATCTGTGAGGCAGAGATCAGAGTCCTTTGCCTGGCTAGCGCTAATCAGGTTATCTTGGGTCCTTTATAATGGAGACACTAATTCCTGTCCTATCCATTTGCAGCAGTTACAGTTTTTTATTATAAGCAACAGAAATGGTTTTGGTGAGTTTGAATAAAATGGGACTTCATTGAAAGGACATTGCATGACTCAAGGTATCCAAAGAAAGAATGACTGGATTCAGAAAGTTCAGGAAACCAGGAATACTTTGAGGACCAAGAGTGGTAGAAACTAAAGAAATTGATAAATTGCCTGCAAATATTCCCCCTTTTTTTGTCATTCTTCTTAAGTGCCTGAAGTCCTGGAAAAGAGCATAAGGTTGGCCTGGCCCACATCTTTGATGGGAGAGAATGGGGCACTTTGGTTGACAGTCCCTCTAAGACTGTATACAGTAAAAGATGTCCCCAAGAGGAGGTCTGGGTGGTCCTACAGGAAAGGGGACTGGATATGGATGGAAGGTAGCCAAAACAAATGTTCACCACACCTCTTCTTGGGGTTGTCATGAGGATATTAAATATACACTGTAAAATGCTATGGAGGAATAAGGAAGTAGTATTTCAGGTTACATGAGAACCAAATTACTAGCATGCTCTTGAAGTAAATGAAGGTATTGGCATCAGTTAGAAAGGGGAGACACTGACTGACAAGAATAGAGAAAGGAACAACTTCATTCCTTTTAGCAATTGCTTTGATTAGAACTTCTCCAAAGAAGCCACACTAACTTTAAATGAAAAAACAGTATTTACAAATGCTAAAGATTTTTATTCCAGTTGTATGAAGGTAAATGTCTGTGGTGAAAAGTTCTGTGATTAAAATGAAAGACATTTACTCACATTTTTTTCTTAATTGTTTTTGTAGTGTTACATACATTTTCGTGCTTAAAATACATGCATATAAAAAGAATGCACGGAGTGAGTGTAGAGAAAATTGAAACGGTAGTTTGAAATTTGAGTTTTGTGTAATGCCTATTAGAGTGAGCAGGGCACGATGCGCATGAGCGTCAGCTGCTTCTAAAAGTGAGCTCTGACATTGTCCAATGCTAGGTAGAGGCTCGAGTGTGTTTTCCTCACCTGTGAGCCTAATTTCTTTTAAGGACTGTAGTCATGACCATAGAGTGAGTGATTCTTTTCAAAATCCTAACTCTGCTGTGCAAAGAATCCCAGTACATAATATCTGAACTACAAAGTGAATTTTCAAAGCTGGAAGACTGACTGAGCTATAATACAGTTTGATTTTTGTGTCCTTACTGTTTCTTTCTTTGCAAGATCTTGATTTACAACAAGCAAGGAAAATGAACCTAAACAAAACAAAAAAGTCACTGACATGGCTGGAAATAGAAATTAATGATTCAAATAAGAGAGGCAGTGTGGAAAGCCTCAGCTGGGTGTCAGGAAACAGAGCAAAAGGCAGGAACTGGCTTTTTTTTAAAAGGCAAAACAACTCACAGTAGTGTTATGAAAATCATTTCTAATAATAGCCCATGGTAGGCAACTCCCAAGAAAAAAATCATTGGTGCTCGGAGAAAATTGGAGTGAGAGAATGCACAGTATCTTGATGTGTTACTTAAGGCAATGGAGCTTTAGAGTTTACCTTATGTGCCATGTACATTGATTAAATACAAAATATATGCTGGCCATTTTTGACCATCATTTACTGTATTGATTTGTTAGCAGGGGAACTGTAATAAAAAAGCCATTGATTTACTGTCCTTATTTGCTTATGGGCTTTTAAAAAAATTATTATTAATTTTTCACTTTTTATTTCTCTTTTTTGGGATCATTTCTTCTAGACAAATGCTGTGCTTCGTGAAGTTAGAAGAGAGGGTATCCCCATGGAACAAAGGAATGAAATCTTGACTGCCATTCTCACCTTGCTCGCCACACGCCAGAACCTGCGGAGGGAGTGGCATGCCAGGTTAGTTCTGTGATGAAATGGGACTTGTTATCCTGGGAAAACAAGAGCTGTATTTGGCTAAGTTCTTCGTTACGGCAGGTGTCGTGCCTCTCATTTGAGGGGCCATGAAGAATTACTGATGCTTTCGGCCAAAGCTAGCTCTCCTGCTCATGGGACCTGCGTTAATCGCAGTGATCTGGGATGTCATTTCTACATGTATGTGATTTATCCCCAAGTATAACATTTAGCATAAATGTTTGCATCTTGGACATAATGCAATGTAGTAACTGATGCTCAAGAGCCCCCTTAATCAACAGTCTATACGACTAACATTAGGGCTCATATCTAGGAAATCCACATAGTGCTCTTATATCACTCAGTCAGAGGCGGATTGCTTGAAGGTAGTTTATTTATCAACCCCATTTTAAGAATTGATCAAGTAGGAATGACATTGTCTTCAGCCTAGTTTCTTTGCATGTGGACTTAACCTGTGCTTATAAAGCTGTTACTGGTAGAAAGTTGCTACACATCATCAGTGTTCCAGAATTGCTGTTGCATACCGAATATCATGTTACCCTGGTCTTACTTGAAAAACAGTTGATGGGCAGAAGGTTAGAACTAGTTGCCCCAAGTATGAGCGGTATCCTTTGGCTTTGTAGTTGGTAAAAATTGTTGAGTTATCATCTGTCTCTAAGTAAGAGTAATCAGAAAGATCATCCTACATTTTGTCTCATTCTTATTTGATGCTTAAAAATTCTGTGTGCCTGGGAGTTGAGAACATTTATTGATAGCCATAATCTTCTCCAAATGAGTTCATGCAATAGAATTTATAATAATTGATGGCTTTACTAGTAAGAATCATCATAAAAATAAATTTGTTTGAACAAGGCTGAAGATGAACATTTTTCAAGAAAAGAGACAGTAAAGAGTATGAACTCTCCATTCTGATGGGGTATCAGAAAGCTACTTTTTCAAATATATGTATTATTTCTGAATTCAGACTTGCACTGAACCAATAATTTAAAAATTCCTGATAATATTCTCCCCTTCTCCCCTTTCTTATAGTGTGGTTAGAGTAAACGACAGTGTCAACTGCAGTAATGAAATGATTTCCAATTGAAGTTACGCTAATTAATTTTTAAATTTGCATTGTATTATAATTTAACTATGTATATTCCTTAAAGTATACCTCTTTTTAAAAATAATGGAATAAATGTGAGGACATCTAAGAGGTTTCTCTCCCTCTCTCTTTTCCCTCTGGTGATTCTTATTAAATAGGAAACGGAGAAAGAAAGAAAGGAAGGAAGGAAGG